GAGTGCTCTCAAGGACCCTAACTGGTACAATGCTATGCTAGATGAATATAATGCCTTGATAGCTAATCATACATGGGATCTTGTACCCCCTTCCCCCGACCAAAATGTGATCTCCGGTAAATGGCTATTCCGTCACAAACTTGGCCCTACAGGTGAATTATCCAGGTACAAGGCTCGATGGGTTGTTCGTGGATTCCATTAACGCCACGGCATTGACTATGACGAGACCTTTAGCCCGGTTGTCAAACCGGCCACTATCCGCATCGTCCTAAGTCTTGCCGTGTCCCGAGGATGGCCAATCCACCAGTTCGACGTCAAAAATGCTTTTTTGCAGGGCTATCTCACAGATACTGTCTACACCGCTCAGCCCTCGGGATTCCAGGACCCAGCGCGCCCGAACTATGTCTGCAAATTAAACAAGGCACTCTATGGCCTCAAGCAGGCACCCAGGTCCTGGTACCAGCGTTTCACAGGATTTGTTCTTTCTCTTGGATTCAGTGGGTGCAAGAGCGACACCTCTCTATTTGTCTACAGTCACGGTCAGGACATGGCTCTGCTTTTACTATATGTTGATGATATTGTCCTCACGGCCTCCTCCCCTGCTCTTCTTCAGCAGCTCACGGATCGACTGAAAGGGGAGATTGCCATGACAGACATGGGTGACCTTCACTTTTTCCTTGGGATTAATGTCCAGCGGACTGCTCATGGCTTGTTCCTCACACAGACTCAGTTCATCTATGACATCCTTGAACGCGCCGGCATGACTTCGTGCAAACCAGTTTCTATTCCTGTGGACACCCGTGGGAAGATGTCGGCCACTGTCGGTCCGCCCGCTCCAGATCCCTCCCTATATCGCTCTATTGTGGGTGCACTGCAGTACCTCACATTTACACGCCCTGACATCACATACGCCGTTCAGCAGCTCTGCCTCTTTCTCCATAATCCACGGGTGCCACATGTCACAGCCATGAAGCGCGTCTTGCGCTACCTACACGGCACACCCACCCATGGCATCACCATCTCACCCTCTCAGACGGATCATATGCGGGCATATTCAGACGCTGACTGGGCCGGTTGTCCTGATACTCGTCGCTCCACATCCGGCTACTGCATTTTTCTGGGCGACAATCTGATCTCTTGGTCCTCCAAGCGCCAACTCACCACCTCTCGATCGAGTGCCGAGGCAGAATATCGAGCTGTTGCCAATGCAGTGGCTGAGGTCAGTTGGGTACGCAATCTACTCCTTGAGCTCCGGCAACCTCTGACTCGCTCCACACTCGTCTTCTGTGACAATATCAGTGCGGTCTATCTCTCTGCAAACCCTGTCAAGCATCAGCGCACGAAGCACATTGAAGTTGATATTCATTTCGTTCGCGACAGAGTAGCCCTGGGTCAGATTCGGGTCCTTCATGTTCCTTCTTCCCTACAGTACGCTGACATATTCACTAAGGGACTGCCCTCCATGATTTTCTCGGAGTTTCGGACTTGTCTAGGCCTACGGCAATCTCCACTAGCGCCGTTGGGAGCATGTTAAATATGTAAATATATATTTACCATATTTAATATTTATGTATATTGGTAGCTACCATATTTGTATAGGGTGTATTAATTATTATGTTTCCTACCATCTTTAGGAAACTCTTGTATATATATAGAACATGTAATCTCCCAAATTATTATTGGAAAATATTTTTTCTACAGTTTTAAACGTTGTTTTCTGATATCGGTTAACGCTTCTAATCTTTGATTCATTTCTAAAAATCTTTGTTGGAATCAATAACAGACAACGACGTTGTTCGTTTTTCTCTTACCCCACTGCTCCACCTCCCGACTAGAATAAGTTAATAGGAATTATTTATGATAAAGCTTGATATAAAGTTATGAGTAACAAATGATAAATACAGTGATAACTAGAATCTTATTAATGACACGTGATTGTTGCGAGCTGTGGATTGACATTTTTACAAGTTTGAAGAATGGATATTTGAGTTGATTATATTCATTATCACTCTTAAAATAACAAAGACAATTTTAAACATGAAAAGCAAATGTTTGAACATATGTATGTGATTGGGATTGTGAAAGAAATTATTCTGTGAATTTCTTTATTGTGTCGTGGTACCACCCAGCTTCATTGCTGAGTGTGTAAGCTTTTTTATCTTTCTACATGTACGTATGAGAGAATAAATGTGGAACCCATCCTAGAGGGTATTTAGATCGAGGTGATCCATGAACGTGCACAAACCTACTATTTGAGAAAATGATGTTATCACATGCTGAATTATGGGTTGACCACACTGTTATAGTTTTAATTGCTTCCGCACAGTTTTAAATAATTTTACTTTGATGGTATTCAATAAATATTTTGCACAGTTGTTTTAAACAAAGTTTTAAAATGTTTTGTATTGTGATATTACCAACTTAATACTTTAGTCTGAAAGGGACTGTAGACTTGGACGGGTTAGTATATTACATGAGTTGCTTGATGACCTCTTTGCAATTAGACTCCACCATTACTTAACTCCATCTTTTGGCTTTAATCCAGCTCAAAGTCTCTTTCACAGCAATGGCTTCCGCTCCCCTTGGACTAAAACGTCCCCTACATCTGATATTTTTTTCAGCTACAAATTTTCCTTCATGATCACAAGAATAAGGTCTGAAACAACATGCCCCTCTATTAGCCTAACCGAAGCATCTACATCGAGTTGACGGGAGGTTTCTCCCACCTCCCCAATGTCGTAGCCACAAAACATGGTCGCATGACCTTCCACCAATCCTCACAAGTCTTTTGAGCACGCATTCATAAAACAAAGGGGGAGACTCCTTCACCTCTCCAGACTCTTGCATTACGTGCTAACCACATCATCCAAAGAATATAAAAGACTAGAGCTTGATCCTGAGTATTAAACAGATTGAGCATCTCCATCATCCATTTGGGGAAATTGTACTGTAGGGGAATATGAACCAAGAACTCATGCTCCCCAAACCTATCTTGCATAATTAAATGTTAGAAAGAGGTGTAATACCGTCTCCTCACTGGCATGGGTGAAAGGCCAACTGTCATTAATAGCCACTCTCCACGTCGTAAGGTTGATTAAGCATGGGAGGATGTTATTTAGCGCTCTCTAGATCATTTTGCACCTTCGGTAAGGTTTTAACAGTCCATACCTTTTTCCACAATGCTGTCTCCGTTATATTGTCTTTAACTGTGTCATCCCATGTCAAGTGTTTATACGCATTCTTTACCATATAAGTGCCAGTTCTGTCTAGTACACAAAAACGTATATCAACCTCGTACAAAGAAGTCATTGGTATTTGTGCATTGCAGCTACATCCCTTGGGTTGAACACGACTTCAATAATCGACCAGTCCTACTGATTATTTACCATCAGGTCTTTAATAAATTGCAGAGATTAATGCTTGGGATACTCTAATGTGACGTATGGGTTCTACTTGTCAACCAACCACGAATCAAACCAAATTTGGACCATTCCACTGAATCCCATTTCACATCAAGTCTTAGGTCTAAAGAAAACTACACCAAACAACGGTAGTATTTAAGCCAAGCTTTGCTTCCAATAAATTTGTGTTCTGGATGTAATTGGCTTTAAAACCTTAAGAAACCAAGAGGTCCGGTTGGGATACGAATTCCCATGCCACCTTCCCAAGCATAGCCAAGTTAAATTATCAAATGCTTTTGAAATTTAGGCCACCAACATATCTTTGTCGACTCAGCCTGCCCCAATTTAGCCAATGAATACTCCTTATTGTTCCTCAATCCTTGCTCCGCCAGAATCGAGCCATCATCTCTACGTCAAAGTTTTGTCTCAGGTATGCGTCCGAGCTGCTTTGCTTTAGCTATTTATACATACACATATTGATATATATGGCAAACCCTCGAGTCGTTTCAATGTAGCCCGATCGGAACACGGCGATATGGCATCGTAATTGATTGTCTCTGTCGCCAGAAGCTCTGCAAATGCCACCTCAATTTTTTTTATTTAACTTAAGGAATCAAAGATTTGTTTTTGTTTTTTTAGTAAATTTTTTTAGAAGTCAGTGATGAATTTCATTATTGTTGGATAGTATTTGAAACCAATGAAAAGATTATAATGTTTTGAAAAAAACATATATTTATATATATATATATATATATATATATATATACTATGAAATTACCCGAGCTACTTTAGTTTAATTTATATATATATATATATATATATATATATATATATATGATGGGTTTAGAGAGAAGATATCTGCACGGCGGGGATCTAAGTCGTCGCGTTTCATGGCGGAACCCTAGGAAACCAGCGATTCATCCGCCGGATTGGGAATTAACGAGGACCGTCTTCAGTTCCGAAGGAGATGGTGTCAAGGAGAATATCGGCAAACATGGAGGATTAGATACAGGATTCTCTTCTTCCCCAACCAGATTCAAAATTGAGGCCAAATTCTACCGATTTGAGAAATCGAAGTGCGGAAGGGTTCAAATATGTGAAGAAGGAAGACGAAAATCCTATAGATTTTGGATCAGTTATGATGTTCTTCAGTGGATTTGCAACTGTCTAGATGGAATAATCCTCAACCCCACGGCTAGCCTGCGATCTGAGGAACACAGTGAAGGTAACAAGCGATATTGTCTCTATCTTGATGCCAATTCTTCTGGGTTTTACATTCGAATTCAAGAATCGAGGATTGATGGTTTTACCTCAATAGTTATTCCTGAAGGTTCCAACAAAAGTGGTATTAGGCTTTTTGTTGCTAAATTAAGGCAAATTGGTTCTTCCATTAGAGACTCTTGTAAGTTTTTTTCAGATTATGATATTTGCCAGAACTGGAGTACGAGTCATGAGTCGGAATTTTCACAGCCTTCTATTTCTAAGGCTTTGTTTGATGTTGATATCCTGGTTGATCCAGTTGTGAATGTTGGAAAATACAATGGACATCTTAATGCTGTTCCAGGCACTGATTTGGGTCAGCTTTCGGACTCCATTCTTTCTACCAAACCTCAGATGGCTATGGTTGAATACACTGCTTCAACTGAACTAAACAGTGCTGTGTTTTTGAAGATACAAACTGAGGAAAAGGATTTGGAAGGGGTTGCAAAACGAATCGTTGATTCTAAACGAATGGCGATTGAGACCAACTCTCCAGAGTATAAGGCAAATTTTGCTAGGTTTACGAAGATCGCTAAAGAACGCATGGAACCAGATCCTCCTATTCTTTCTTCTTTATGTTTTTCCTTTGTTGTTTTCTTTCAACAATTGCTATTCAAGACTTCCCGCAACTTTTTGTCTACTCAAATTTGGCATGTTCTAGTTTTTTCTTCCCTAGTTGGAATTGTTATCAAGATTTATTTGTTTTGGGTTGAACATCTGCCCTGCACTCATTTTATTCAAGAGTATTAGTTTCAATGTTGTTCTTAAATTGTCCAATTTGTGTTACTTCAATCACATATTTTAATAATTTATGAAAGGATTGAAACTAAGAGTTTTGAATAATTCTGGTGGTGGTTATGTCTAACCTATTTAGCTTGTTGTGTTTGTTTAGTACGTATATATGTTCTTCTTGTTCATTTCTGGATTGCTTAGATTAACTAGCCTCTGAAATAATTGACCTCTCTTATCAAAGACATATTCAGTAGCCCAATTGAATGCTCGGTTCAAGGATTCTTGACGGAGTAATGTGCTTTGGGAGATGTTCTAAGCCTTAGTGCTAGCGGTTGGTTTGAACTCAAAAATGGTGTTTGAAAA